CTGTTTAAACCTTTGCAGAAAATCTTAAGGAATTTGTTTTCATTCAGCTTCACAAATCTGTTAGGTGATAACTCACCCTCACTCTTTTAGTTCCAAAAGCATGAGGTTTAGGCCACAATGATTATGTTTAAAACAAGACAGACACAAACTGTGGCACGCAATAGGCCTCTTCTGTAGGAGATCAGGTGAATAACTTGGTTATCAAAAACTATCACCTTTCTTCACCTTGAGAAGCTCTTGGAATGCTTTTGTAATATGCACTCAGACATGCTTTTGCACTCTAAAGCTCTGTCAGATCAGTTCTACATCAACTGGCTGAATCTGAGTACATCCCTTTATACGTCACAATTCATCCTGCTACATGTATCAGCAGTCACTTTTTGAGATATTTGTTAGCCAAGTCCAGTCTGGCCCTCTTATTCTTGAGTGTAACCAGTGGTTTGCACCTTTTTGTAGACCACCTGTATTTACATTCATGTGGGAGTCTCTTCATTGCAGACTCTGATAATGATACACCTTCTTCTACTAGACTGCTCTCTATGTTGTGAAGTTGATTTTTTTCAAGCAAGGAAATACATTTGTGCATCTGCACTTTAGTTCTCTTCTGTGGCCTTTCAGAACTTTGGATCTTAGTGAGATGACCAGCGAGGGATCTTGTCTTTATTTATTGAACAAGATTGTTGAGTAGACCACTCCTGTCTCTGGCAGGTTTGTAATGATTGCCTCCCTCACTTGCACTGATATCTCTTGGTTTTTGTTTATCTTTTGCAGTTTTATTTGATAGTTTAGTTTTTGTTCTTCATTCGTTTTGGGAGACAAAATCCTTTGGCCCATGGTGTGGCTGGACCCAGACTCCTTCCATCTTTTTGTTCCTTTTTTGCAGGAAAAGGAACAAGAGTTTCTAACAAGAAATGATTCTTAGTGGCAAACTGAAACTGGGGTGTGTTTTTTTTTTTGTTGGGGTCACTGAGATTAGTTGAGCCTTTGCTTGTTCCTAGTTGCGACCTACTAAAAATTGAAGTCAAACACTTTCAAATCACACCTTTTGTACAGAGGCATACTGTTCATGGAAATACATATTCTGCACAATATATAATGCATGTAATGAAAACGCATACAATTCAAGTGATCAGCAACTTCAGATTAAATATACATTAAATAGAACCATTATACTCATTTCTATCTCAACATTTTTATCCTTGGATGGCAGTAAGCATGATTTAAACCTCATAACAAAACTAATTTATCTCATGCTCAGTCTTTTTGAAGCTCTTCAATTTAACAACTGTCTTGAAACAAGTCTTTTTAAGCGCCTCTTCCTGTAAGCCAACTTTTCTGTAGACTGAATGCCTCTCACAAACAAAAGATTTGAACAGCAGGTGGGTGGGGCTGTTGTGCTCACTGCCAGCGCTGTACGCCTGATATGACCATATTAAGGACATCTGCTGTCAGTGACATCACAAGAGAGACAGGACAACCTATGAGGGGAAAGTGAGGCTCGGATCTCCTTTTTCTGTGAAAACTGTGCTGTCGTCATCAACATATGTGGTAAAAATAATTTATGCCCCATATGGGTTTGCTTACTTTTGTCCAACTTGTTAATATTGTAGTTTGTTACTTGCTTCATTGTTGAATCTCTTTTTCTGAGGTCATCATTTTACCAAATGTGTTGATCATTATAATTAAAATCAATGGAACTGGCTGAATTTCAGACAATTTTTGAATAATTTCATTTTTGATAGAATTTCTAATCTCACATTGACCCTCTGAACTAGGTGGCATATACAAATGTTCTATACAAATCTCACAGTCGCATGTATTTATACATTTGACAGATCAATTGAGCACCAAATGGAATGTCCGGTTGGACTGGTGTGTCAAAATATAATAATAATGGATTGGATTTATATAGCGCTTTTCAAGGCACCCAAAGCGCAATTCCATTATTCATTTACTCTCACATTCATACACTACAGTTGTACCCACAGCTGCTCTGGGGCAGACTGACAGAAGTGAGGCTGCCATATCGCGCCATCGGCCCCTCTGGCTAACACCAGTAGGCGGTAGGGTAAAGTGTCTTGCCCAAGGACACAACAACCAGGAAAGAGAGCCCAGGGATCAAACCGGCAACCTTCCAGTTACAGATGCGCTTCCCAACCTCCTGCACCACGGTCAAGTCACTCCCTTAAGGTTTAAACTCAGAAGAACAAACCAAACACACCTCAGCTGCTGCCCCTGGGAGTGAAAAGAGTGAGCTGAACGTGAGTGCAGTCCTTATATAATGTGTTCCAAGTGAGTTCAATTAAGGGACAAACTCCAGAGTCAACGAGTGTGAGAAAGTAAAAAAGGAAACAAGGTAAGTCACAAGGTAAAACTAAAATTAGAGAACAATCGTCTGTCACAATAAGATGCCACACATGACACACAAAATTAGTTTGTCCACTACAAGACAGAGGTGCACACCGGAGGCCTAAACAACAGGAGGTGTATCACTCCTCCTGGTTTCCACCTCGAGACAGTGTTTACGTTGCCTTTGGTGGCTTTTTGGCAGGTACTGTGACATTCACTGGTACCCTCACTGGCACACAAAACAAAACAACTGAAAATGCCCTTTTTATTGTTTCTTCCTGCACTAAACATGTCAACAGTATTCAGAAAAGATCATCATGTATATAGATTTAATCATATATATATATATTTTAGTGGTCTATCAATAAAATTAAAAAACAAAATAAAAGACTCAGCCTGGCTGCAGCTTGTTGCTATGTCATCCTACATCAGTCATGCAGTATATTCACTTTTAGAATTTATATTCAGTGTTAATTATAGCCAGGCTCAAAGTGTTAATGCTAGATTATTTTTAGTAAACAGCATTGTGATAAGCAAAACTAGGGTGGCATGAGATCATTATATGATGGCACTTGCCACCCCATGCTATCCCTGTAGATCCACCCCTGGCCACAAGAGCCTCAATACTGTATTTTAGTACAGCACTTAAATAAATGTACTTTCCATCCATAAAGAGTATATAAACAGAGGCATCCATCATTTTTTGGCCATGTCTGATGTCCCATTAAGAGACCAGGGACCTCACAGCCTTGAACAGTTTGTTTAATGCTGCAACTCTAAGCTCAGAGTAGATGATGGAGCCTGATGAGACACTTATTCATTCAGTTTCAGGCATAAACTGTTTTCCTATTAGCTGCCATAGCAGATGGGAGACAGCAGATAAAGGCTGACAATGTGAGGCCTTAACATGTTTTTCTCTTGTTGGACCAATCACAGAGAGCGACACAATTTAGTTGGCACAGCTTGAGGTCACCTATTAAATCTGTGTTCATATAAGACATCCTCTGTCTCGAGAACATATTCATATTGATTAGTGCACACAATTCACCTCATTAACAGACAACCCTATTTTTATCTTCCACTCCTCCCCCCCCCCTCGCTCCTATTTCTGTCACTCATTTATGCAAGTCTGTATTTTTAATTTGGCGAGATGCTGAGGATGTGATCATCAATGACGCAGATGCATGGATGCAAGGGAAGAACCTGTCACCATGTGCATACACACTGCGTACACACACACACACACACACTTGATGTGAAAGACTTTGTTCAGTAGCATCAAGTTTTATTTTTAATTTCAGGGCACAGCAGGTGTGGGGAAGTGTCCCTGTTATTTCAGGTGCCAGAGATTTTCCCCAAGTATTCTTCCCCATCTGAAATCTCAGCACTTCCCACAAAAACATGGCAACCGCCACCCGGATTGCCAACAGTATGAGTATGACTGGAGAAGTCATGCTGTCCTCCAAGGCTGCCGTGAATCCTACAGGTGTGAAGTGATATCAGATCTGTTTTCAACAGATTGAGCACAACACTTCTCTGACATTAACAAACTCACATCCAACAATGTTTTAAGAACATGAAATGATACAGCTTATAGAATCTGAGGACTTGTCTGGTTTTTTTCATGCAAACATGCACCACCTTCTTCTAAAGATGGCAACTACATTGCTCACTCTGCCGTTTGACCTCTGACAGTATCCTCGGGGCTTCAGGATGTGTGCTGGCAGCAGGTAATGTACGGTCTACCCTTACAGGTCTGATGGGCTCACTATTTGTAATTCTATTTTATGCTGTTCTGTCATATATTGTGCTGGTCACATATTTTGAGCACGTCCCGAATTTCTGGATGCATCTCATCCAAACAGAGGCCGTTTGAAACCAAGGATTCATAAAAGTTCTTACACACAAACTGGTTCACACCTGTTAGCTTTGATGTTTAAAATTAGCAGAATAGGCAGATTTTATTTAATCCCAAACTGGGAAATTCACTTGTTACATACAGCAGCACATGGACAGGAAGAAAAAGTGAATTAGAGATTTAAAAATAAAAATGGAAAAAAAATAAATGAAAACTGTGCACAAAAAGCCAAAATCCTATACTATGTACAAATGGTTACTATATACTGTAAGAATCTGTCTCATTTCATGTTAAAACCCTTCACTTGTCTTCTGTTTGGACTAACAGCATTCTTTCCAGGTGTGTAGTCTTGAGATTGATTTCCTAATGTTAGTCTTTAATTCTGCAGCAGCAAACTGAAGATCTAATATTCAGTTTATAAAGCTGTTTAATGCATCATGCCTTTTATAAACAGAACAGCAACTTTGGAGCTCTCTTTCCTCAAGTGCACAGCAGTGACAAGCGAATTAAGGTAGCATGCTTTGAAGCTAAAACACATAATTATCTTTTTGCTGTCAGGCAACCACAGAGCCATCGCATGTGAAAAGCCTCAATACTTCACGCTTTTACACATGGCAATTCCACCTCCTTAGCCTTTCAGTGCCATAGAGATGGGGAGCACGCGACATCTGTCACATTAAAAGAGAAAAATATGTGGAACAGAAGCCTCCTATCCTGGTAGATGGTCCTGTCTCCCATACAACGCACCCACAATGATGGCCGCATGTTTAGTTTTTCAAACTTAAAAAAAAAAAAAAAAAAAAGACTAAGGTCACACAATGCCCCAGTCTTCATCACCATAAATAAACCAAACCTGGCTGAGCAGGTGCCAATTATCTTCAGTGATGGTCTTCAATTATTCATTTAATATATCTAGTGGTTTATTTGTTGCTTTAAATCCTAAATAATGTATAATTATGTCTCTCTCTCTCTCTCTCACACACACACACACACACACACACACACACACACACACCCCCCTTTAGAAACATATTGCAATAATACATCATTTGGTCAAGTATTCAAGCAACAGACAAAACATTCAATAAATCAAAAAGGACAAAAAGCCACTAATTGTCACATTTATTGAAATATAGTATTGGATATGTGCATGTAAAATATACATATACTGGACATGTCTCAGGTTTCTTTACATCATAATTGCACTTTCTATCTCTTTGGCACCTGCACATGAGAATATAACAGTTTCACCACAGTTAAAAACTGAAACTGCATTCAAGGCTAATATGAATTCCCTTTACTATACTATAGATAATATCAAAAGACTTTGTTGCTGAAAAAGAAGTTTGTAGGTTAAGACAGTGCAAAGTCTGGAGCAGTTTCTTTAGATTTTGCTTCCAAGAGCTCAGATTTATTTATTTTAAAGGTGGCTTTGAGCAGTCTAACCTACAAATAAAATGCCCAAGATAATGGTTTGATAAGGTATATTTATAAAAAAAAATAATAATAATTTGCACCAACAAGGAAACCCTAGCATTACTATGTAAAAACTTGGCACATCTCGGCATGGTGAAGTGTTGTCGTGATTTGTGAAATTTTGACCATAGAAAAATGTAAATCTATTTTATTCCTACGTGCGATACATCTGGAAAACATCTTGTTAACAGCTTCGTTTTTCAGCCAAACAAAGATTCCAAGCACACTGGCAGTGCAGTAAAAGCATACCTGATAAAGTGAAAAAACAAAAAAGGCACAGTTGAGCACTGTCAGTCACTGACCTTCCCAGAGCCTGAACCTCACTATGAGGCAGTGTGGGATCATCTTGACAGAGAAAGGAGCAAAAGGCAGCTGATATTGAAAGAAGAGCTTGCAAAATATAAAGAAACGAGCGATGGGTAAACACTTTTGCACAGTACTGTTTACATGCAAATTTCAATATTATTACTACCTCTTAACACCTGGCACTTCAGAAAAATACTTAGAGTCTGAAACAAACACTATAGGAGACATTCCCTTTAACATCCTTCACATGTCAACATTACCAGGTACAACACATTTAAAAAAATAAAAAGGAAACCACGCTCCTCCACACTGAACACCTGAAAATTCACATCCTGGACGCAAACAAGCATCCCTTACTGTTGATTATTGTCATGATGTCAGTGCAGTTTGTACCATGTGCACTGAAGCAAGCAGATGGCAAAGAAGTTTTTATACTCTCCACTTCCCTCATCAACCAAGTTATTGACGTACTGTCAAGACATTCCTTAAATAAATAGCTCAAAGCCAAGAACGAGCTTAAAATTATTGCTTTTGTTCCCAAATGTCCCTTATGTTCTCACTATAGCCACACTGTTGGTCCTTTACTCATTAGAGGTAAAAACACATAAAACACAACACAGAGAGAGAAGTTGAAGATGTTCACACTGGAGCAATGACACAATACATTTAAAAACAAAAAACAAAAGCAGTGTATTTGTTGAAAGCATTTCTCTGCCAAGGCTGGAATTCCCTCCATACAATGTGTGAACAGAGCCCTGGATCCAAGACTTCATCTGGACCCAAGTTACTTTCATATTCGCTCAGGAAAATAAAAATTATATTTCACCTTGTTTCAATCTGATGTGCACTTGCAAAATTATAATCTCCCCCAATTTCATGGAATCCTTACTTTTATAGTAACTTCATAGAAAACTTTGTAACTTCATTTAGTTTTTATGCAAATCCATGCATACCTTCAGTATCTTGCCAACAATCTAGCAATTGTTTGAAGAAAAAAAAAATGTAATAATAAAAGTGCATTAAAACAAGAATCAAGACATGTCATAGTTTTTGCACATATATTATTAGGGCAGCCAGCATGATTACAGAAACGGACGGTAAAGCAGGATTAGAGAAAAGGACACATTAGCACCATCGGTTTTGTTTACATGCTTCAGAGACAGCAGCTCAGAGCCTGCTTAAACTCTGAAATTGCAAAAGGGAGTTAAAAAGCTGCAGAGCAGAATCTTTTCTATGACAGATAGTCATTTTTGCACTGGGCATACACAAAGCTTTGCGAATGCACACTTTACAATCTGAAATGCATTTACAGCCAACTTATGGTACGTAAAAAAAGAAAAAAAGAACAGCCAGTAAAGTTAGTATCTGAATGCTTTGTTGTTCTTCAGGCTCTGTCTTTCAGTAGATTCAATCTAAAGCAAAACTATGCAAATATTAATAAAACGGGCCGAGCAGCAGTTTTGTTTTAAGTACATTTGAGATGATTTTTATGAATATTCAAAGAACTGTGTTTGACAGATGATGTGTAAGGTTTGGTTGCTGTTTCAGTGCTGGTCTATAGCTACATTTGCACTGCTGTGGAGGTGTGTGTTAATATAAAGTGAGAATCATGTGAGTGTGAAAAAAAACAAACAACCAAACTACAATTAATTTGAGCAAATCAGTAGCTGGGGAAATTATTAAAATGAACGTCTGCAAAGGAAAAACAGGCAATAGCACCAAAATGCAGACAAGCAGATTATTGGTGCGGTGAAAGTAAAGCCCCATATAAATTATATAAGCACAGTCATTGATTAAGAGGAGATCTCACTAATATAAGATGCAAACTTTGGTGATCCTCAAAGAAAAAGACCATTTGTAGTTTTAAGAAAAATCAGCTTCTATCATTATTTCAGTACAGAGCCTGAAGAGCAAACAAATACTTCCTGTCAGGAATGTGGAAATAGCACTTTAACCACATGAAACAAGTTGAAGAGGTAATTCTCACTGGTAGTAAACTTATAAGAATGAGTTACTGTACAGACTTTAAGAAGACTGCGTCATGGCTTTATTCTTGACCCGCTGGGAGGAAACGCTTCGACAGTGCAGGTAGACTGAGAGGGGGTGGATGAAGGCCAGCAGGCTGAGCAATGTCAGACCAATGTTCACCTGGAAAAAAATGGAGAAAAAAAATGATGAAGATGTGAGGAGAGAAAGGATGAGATAAGGAGCAAGGATAGATCATAAAAATGTATTTACATATAACGGATCCCCATCCAAGACTTTAACCAGAGCAAAGCAGGGATACTGCAGCAGCGAAAACACCGCAGACAGAGCCATGACCAAACCATACAGCTTCCCAAAGTGGCAAGATGGGAAACTAAACACACACAGAGCGAGAAAGTAAGGAGGAAGGAGATCACACAAGAATTATTTAACCAGGACAGACAGCAATAATGTGGAAATAATTACTTATTACAAGTATACTATATTTACATGCAGTCTAAGAGCATTTGTATACATTTACTTGTCAGCAGCTAACATTAAAGACCCTTTGATGCATTTAAAAATATGAAGCTGTGGTAGAGATGATGTCACTGAACAAACTTATAGACCATCCTGGTCCCCCTCCGTACAGACTGAGCACTTATTACTCATGCAGCAGCTTCCTACAATGCATTATTTGTTCTGCTGACTTCACTTTTGTTGATTAAGTATTTAATATATTTGGTTTTTTTAATACATTCATTTGTTAAATTTAGATTTATACTACTAACAAGGTATTTAAATGATGCTAAACTGGTACTAATGGGCCCAAAGTCTGCCAAGAAAATCCACCACCAGCCTGAACTGCTGATCCACGCTTTCATGTTGTTTACATCTAATTCTGACTTCAAGAGTTTAGACTCAATGTTTTTCCAGTCTTGTGTTCTTCTATTGTAAACTGCAGCCTCAGCTTCCTGTTCTTAGCTGACAGGAGAGGCCACTGCGTGGTCTTCTGCTGCTGCCGAGATGCTCTTCTGAGTACTTTGGCTGTGGCAAGAGGTTTGAGGTATTTGAATTACTTTTCTCCTCTTATGATCTAGAAGTCCATTTACACACCTGGGGTTACTAATTTTTATTAATTTTCAAACAGAACTGCAGCACAATGGATGTTTTCTCTTTCTTTGACCAACCTTTGTAAGCCAGAGACGAGATTGCCAAAAAAAATCCCAGAAGTTTCCAAAATACAAACTAGCTATTTTGTAAGATTTCGCTTTTAGGCATTACTCTACTTACTAAAATAATTTATTTTAATTTGCTGTGTTTGACTTCATTTTAATTGCTGTAGCAAAAGCATGTCCCAAATTTGGATAAATGAAATGCTTCATGTTATAAAACACAGCTGTTATATACTGCCATCTAGTGATCTAAAGAGGAAATGCTGGGTAATGCTCACCTCTAAACATTTTTAAAGACCAGTGTGTAAACCTGCCTGCCTCTACGCACATGTGTATATAGAGGTTGGCTTATTTAAAAAACAAAAAAATAATTACATGCCTCATCAAAAACAATTCTTTCTGATAAGTTTCTCTTTTGTTATCGTTTTTTCACTGTTTTGATGGATGAGTCATCACTAAGATATGTGTTTTATGTGTTATCTTTTTTAAACCACAGATTTCTTATCTTTTGTGTTTCATTAAATATCAGAAATATTTCATGGAGTTACAGTTGTGTTGAAAGAGTGCTGTGAAATGTAAACTATTCATTGATTAGCGTGCATGTTTGATACTCACGCCACACTGATGAAGGCCGCGTTGCCGCCATAGAGGAAGGAGCGGTTGAGCACCTGCAGGACGAAGGTGAGGTACTGAAGAGGCAGGTATGGGGTGGAGGCACAAATGGAAAACAACAGGCACTGCAGGGCCGTCAGGAAGAGAGAAAGCACCGTCGCCCGCAGGTCCACCTCCTGCTCGCTCTCCCCTACAAACACAATAATGACTGAAGTGTGCATGTCGCTCTTTATGAATCGGCAGCCAGCCTGAGGGTCTCTCTTCAGATGAGACTGAAGATTAAAGTGGACAAATCTTTATATACTGTATGCAAGTTTCCTTTCTTCTCCCCTATCATTAGTCTGAAATAAAGTAAAACTTAAACAAAACTTCAAACAAGGTATAAAAAGACTAGTTTAAATAGCATGCACAAAAACGAAACCATGACAGCATTTCATGTAAACCCATCACTGAATGAATTCATGAAAATTATTCAATCCACACAGGGATGGGAGGTGTCGTCTTTTATTCTACATCAGTATTAGAGTCATGGTGTTACCTTCAGCTCGTGGTTTGCCCTTGTGTCTGTCCATAATGAGGCCGTTCCAGGGAGCACACAGCACGCCACATAGCTGGGTGATCGCAAAGGCATTGGTGTACTGACTCACTGCAGGGACACAAACAAAATGGATAAAAGGCAGAGTCCACCAAAATATGAGACATGATGGTTCAAAAGGCATCAAAAACATGGAGTTTTAGTTTGTAAATCACTGCACTTACTGTGTAAGATAAGCCAGTTTATTAATGAAGCAGAATTTAGACACTGATGCATTTTCAAAGTACCTAACGCATGTTGATTTAGTAAAATTACATTCAAGTGCTTAGAGCTGAGACTGAGTGATGTGGTGTTTGTGCGATTACCCAGTGAGGACTCTCCAGCTGTGAGCCTCTGCAGCATGGGGTTTAGGGTGCCAATGAACAGGTAATGCCTGAGCTGCATCACTGACAGCCAAAGCAGATGCCACATGAAGAACCTGGACAGCAAACAGTCACGGAAACTCTTCTCTGAGAGAGACGGGAGATCACAGAGATGAGGAAAGAAGGCAAAGAGATAGGTAAAAATCACAGTGGATAAGTGTACTGTGTATGATTGGCTCATTCTTTTTCTTTCCAAGTTGGGCACAGACCTTGCTTTGCAGATGCATCCTTGTTGAGCGGCACTTCCTCTACCTTCTGTGCACCTCCGTTTTCTGCCACCTCACCAATACGATTGTCCGATTTACCACAGGTTATCCTGAGGTCAAAGTCACAGCGGGGTTAACGGCACACAGAATGGACCGAGCGAGTTGTTTTACATTTACTTTATGAATTGAGTTTATTGGAATTTTAAATGATGCAGGATGTTTGCTTGGAGATGTGTGTGTGTGGGGGGAGGGGGGGGGGGGGTAAAAGTTGAGCATTCAAAGCTTTTTCTTATTACAAACCTCATTCAGCCACTAACACAAATCATTTTGTCCTTTAACATAGCATTCACTCTCAGACACATGCACATGGACTCTAGTGCATTTAAAAAAAAAAAAAAAAAAGGCTGTCCTCATACTGAGGTTTAACTGTTCTGTTGATTTTAATACAACTGATGTCCTCATCATTGGGCCTTTGTCATCATTGGCTGTAAAGAGCTCTCTTACTCAGCTGACTGAGTAAGAGCTTTCTCAGTAAGCACTGGATGCATGTTTGATCTGTTTCCTATGAAAACAGGAACTCTCTATGAGGAAACTATTCTGACCACAGTGCTACACTGATTCCTCTTTTTGATTTAGCTATGGCACTCTCCTTTAGCACTAACTCTGCCCTCCTTGTCCACTCCAGGTTTTGTTCATTGGCAGCAACACAAACACAAGACAAACTAATCAAAGTAAAATTAAACTCATGCATGATCATTTCATGCATCTTCACTGCAGTTTTTATTTTAGCAACTACGCTGCAAGGTACATTTGGCACTTTCCAAACACATTCGTATGTAAATGTGAACTGACTGGTCCTTGCATAAAGCTCAAGCAGAAATGCACTACATAACATTTCTGATTCACCCAGTCACACTTTTTCTGCATCCAGGTGCTTTCTATCCAGCATTCCCACTGATTAAAACTGCGCATCCCTCCTCTCCTTATGGTCCTTTGTCATTTTAGAAAAAGGACACTTTGTACTTGAAGTGCAGACTCGTCTGAGACGTCTGCCGTGGATTCATACCCGTATGTGTAGTTATCCGGCAGCGGGTATGGGATCAATTTCCGAGGCAGCAAGAAGAAAGTCCTGAGCAGGTGAACGACGCTGCAGGCGGACAGAAACAGGAAGGAGGAGCGAAGAGCGATGCCACGTTCATGCAACAGCTGCAGGAGAAGAAGAGATGTGGTGGTGATCATTGCTACACGAGACAGCCTCTATATATCCTGCTGATTCTTTTGTGTGTAAATGTTTCTCACCTTGATGACAAGGAAGAGTGCCGAGGAAGAATCAAAGGCCCCGTTATAAAGAGTGATGATGGTGGAGCGACGTGAGCCAAACAGGTTTCCTACCTTTAGGAAAATTGAATTAAATGTTATTGTGGGGGCTCTTTAAAATTCTTAGTAGATATTGGTCCCCTCTGCATTCATCTTTCTGTTGTCTATTGTAAGTTTCTGGACAAAAACACACATTGGGCATACCTAAAGTTTTTGCCATCACTGATAGATACAACTGAAGGCGATTACGTCTCTTGTACTTAGAGTTCCTGTGAACAGCGACCAAATGCAAATTCAATATTTGTACCAAGTTTATCTATTTTCCCCACGAAGGGAGGGGAGAATAGATAAACTTGGTTCAGTTTTTCAGTTAGGAGTCAAGTGTGCACAGCTGAAGATTAGTTTTAAATTCTGTGCTATGGTAGATAACAGCTCGAGACGACGTAATTTTAGTGAAAATCGCGTCAAAGTCAAACCAAATGTGAAAAATGCAGCTGCCTTACATCAGTGAGCTACAGCATAAACACCGATCCATCTCCTGAACCTTGAGACAGCTTAATGTTTGTCAGTTAGGTTTAGAGCTGAAAGTCTGCACTTCAAATGACACCCAAGTTGTTTGATTTAAAAATCCAGTGTACAGAGGCAAAACTACAAAACCTGTCACTGTCCAAACACTTGGCTGTAGGTCTTGCTCGAGGGGGAATGTAGAATGTGGTTCAAATTCATAAATCATCGTGGCCTCCCCAAGAGGGATTTGTGCAAAAACAAAAACAACAAAAAAAAGTGTGGTGAAGGTGGTTTCTGTGTTTTGGCTTTGTTGCAGTTTGCTGATAGCCTGAGGAAAGAGTGGAACGTCTTACATTCACAGAACACAGATCATAAAAGGTCACACAGTCGAACCTCTTTCTTCACACAGTGCTTTACTGACAAAGTGGGCCATAGATGAGTCAGTTAGCAAGTTATAATCATGTGTCTTTCCAGCTCTTTCTGGTGATCTACACACAGAGCTCACAAGCAAAAGCGCATTTCAGAAGTCGAGAGGTTTAAAGGTTTAAAATGTGACAGGTCTAAAAAGGTTTTACTTTCCCAAACAGGAAAATGATCAAACCGACATTCTAGAAAAATATATAAGAGTTTTTTTTTACAGAAATAGTCAAATGTATAATAAAATTTATTAAAACTGCCTGATGTCGCAGCAGTAATCTTAAACTGATCCAGTACCTGCATGTTGGTCATCAGAAATAAGATGCCACCCACAGCCAGGAGGGAGAGAGCTGGGAAGAGCAGGATGGCCAGAGCTAAAAAGGAGAAACAAAAAACAAAAAACATAACAGCTGTAACATTTGTGTTCATGCTGATATTTATTTACTCTGATCTTTATTTGAGAACTCTCACCTGAAGTAGAAAAGGCCACCATCACTGTACCTATGGTGTAAAGAAATCTGCAATTGAAAAGTATCATTTGTTATTTGTGCCACACAATTTGCTAAAACAATTGCATTCTTGATCATTAGTGTCCTAATAACTGTGCAGCACTTTGGCAAACTGGTTGTTTTGAGATGCGTTACATTAACACACCATCACTACAACCAAGTAAATGTGCTTCTGGTGCTGTTTGGAGAGCTTTAATTTCCTTTTCTTGGCCTAAGCATCCTCATCTGCACTAGGTGCCTCTTCTACAACTACTAGCATTCCTTGGCTATTTATTTTCACCCCACCCTGTTTAACTGGAAACATATGGATCTGTTCAGTGCCAGTCTGTTATTGTGGATTTAGATATTTGGGGCAGAACCCTGCAGAGGTATGTCTGGTGTTCTATTACATGATTAACTTTGAGGAAGGATGACAGCTTAGTGTTGGATTCTGAGCATCTGGAGGAGAAAAGAAAACATTACTCTGTGATTAACAGTCTTTCCATTTTCTTGCCTTCCCCGCCAAATCTGACATTTGATTGAACTTTAGACGGCATCTCTGGCAGCAGAAGAAAATATTTCCCCTTACTCTACTTTCAAAACAATCTTTGGCTATCGCACATTAATGTGAGTTTTTGTTAGAAATCACGAGGAAACTAAAAGATCAGACAGAGATAGAAAAATAATGCTCATTTCGATTTAGGTCATGGGGTCAAATTCAGATATTAATATTTGTGACACTAGTCGCCTAATTTGGACTGTTTTATTTACGTCCCCAACTTGTGAGAAGCTGAAATACTGTGGCTCCTCCAAGCCTCCAAATCTCCAAATCTGCTGTCAGATCAGATATCCAAGCATTTCAGGAAAGTCATGCATCCATCATTCTGTGGTAATCCGAGTTATGTGCCTGAAATTCCACATTTGCCGCGCAATAATTCCTGATATCTTCCCTAAAAGAAAATTCTCAAGTAGTTTTCTAGATGATGGAATTTAAAAGTGGACTCTCAAAAACAGATGCTATAAAAACGTCTAACCACCAACTTTAACTCTTGAAATTCAACATGACAGTAAGGACCAGAAGTTTTGCAAAAGTCCTATTACAGAGTGGATCCTTCCTCTGGAATTGTCAGGAAAATCTGGGATAACATTTTAGTCAAAATATGCCTGTTTATCTAAAAAACAGACGATCTTTGCATTGCAGTTAGGAGTTTTTTTTGTGGGTTTTTTTAAGTCCATTTTATTTGTGGGCAGGATATATTAGAATTACCTGCAGAATTTCAATAAACCATCACATCTCGAGGAAAAACTAATTAAAAGTTGCACTGTGCAGTTGTTGCTCAAAAGTTATGACATCTTATTGGTGCTCTTTAATAGTTTACCACTTCATTTCTCTTAACATGATTGTTGGGCTTTTAGTGCCACATACAAGTACATTTTTCATATGAATGTTCTTGATTAGAATTATTCATTGACTATTTAAGGTGCTGGACTTACATTCCGTAGAGCCGAGTCACTGTAGTACCAAACCGGTCAAAAAGGAAACCATTCGGCAGCGTCAGAAAGTTGTTCATAAAAGACGCAATGGTAAAAATAAGCGAGAACTGTTCATCCTGTCCGGCGCAATCTGCAGAAACAAAAGTTAGAAAAGACCGAAGGAACAGGTGATTGATTAATTTCCATCCTTCAGCCATTTTCAAGTTTATTTTGTTGCTCAAAGTTGTGAAGGTAAGAACATCACACTGACCTAAAACGTGTGTTCCATTGACTCCTGTGCCGTTGACACACAGAGAGCTGAAGTAGCCTTCTTCCTTGAGGACAAACACAAGAGAAGCCCAACCAAACACGGCTCCAGCGAAACACAGGCACTCCACCAGACCTGTGGTGAAGGTGAGGCAGCGCTGCACCGATAAACCGCTCCCAGACCCTGGCATGGTCGCACAGGCTCAGCTCACACTCACAAGTACGTCACAAACTTGTACACATTCAGAGGGGGCTTCACTCACAGCACCTGCTAAAATAACCAAACCAAAACACTGCATTTTATTCTTATGTTTAAAGAAAAATAAGAATGATGTGACCATATAACAGCAGTCATTTATTTTGTCTAGCAGTCGTGGTTCGTTTCCATTTCAGGCCTGTTGCTGCATGCCAAGCTCTTCCTTAACCCACCTTCCCCGTTTCTCCATCCCTTCCAAATTGAAAGGGAAAGACTACAAGAAATCTACTACAAGAAAATGAAAAAACCCAAAACAGAACGCCTTAAATCAAAACCTTTTCAGCTGCGTAAGAGCTGTAACTGAAAACATCTGGACATAAAATGCCCTGCTCAAGTTTAGGTCACACCTCCAGAGAGACATATTGCATGAATTCATAGGTTACACAAAAAGAAGTTATTCTTACTAAGATTAACCTCGTGTTGCCACAAAGAGGAAGTATTCCACATAAACAAAACGCTCTGCTGTTCAGTTACAATGATTTCCAGTTCATTACCGTCTTGTACTCACAGTTCAGCCTCCAAGCGTCTCTACAAATGCTCTTAAACCACAAGCTTGAGCCTCTCGCGCTTGCTTTATATAGAACAGCTCTTCCTTCCTCTTCCTCATCAGTTCCCTCCCTCCGGTTTTTTCTCCTCTCTGCTCTATAGGAGAGAAAATATTCTTCGCGGTGCTAGTGGCTAAAGAAAACAAACACTTGCGCACGTATAGCCGGCCAGATAGCAGCGCCACATACACTGTGGGAGAAAGGACAGATGTGGATGCTGGGAGGCTAAGACAGTTTAGTCAAAAGATCATGTGACTCAGACAGGGGAGGGGGGAAAAAAAACAAAAAAAACAAAAACGTGAGTGCCGTGTGGAACCCTTTGTCACGGCTGGTGCACGTGGAGAAAAAGAAAACAAAAAAAAGGATGTGCGATAGGTTTTCTCTCCTTGACAGGCTGTAAAAAGGATGCTGCAGTAACTCATGACTCTCCACGGTGCTCCAGGCTGATGAGAAACAATGCATAATTAGCCCCTCACTAAAATTAAAAGGAGAGGGGAGAGGGTTAAAATAACGCTTCTACATAAGGGATTAACTTTGCATGCAACTCTCTCCCCCCCCCCCACAAAAAACGTCATCCAACAAGAACGCAAAGTCAAGTGGTGACACTGAGGGGGAAGAGAAAAAAAAAAAAGCACGGATAGTCAGAACAGAAAGATTTCACTACTCTAATAACTTGTTACAATGGAGTGAAATGAGTCAAGAGTAAAGTGCCTGCAGTGTTTGATTCTGTCTTACTCATTAAAAGAAGAGTCAAAGAAAGCTGCACACCACACTGAAGGATTCCAGGCCAAAAGCCTCTGCTACGTTCGTAGATGGCCCTCAGTTTGAATTCAGGGTACAGACACCTCTACTTTTAAGATTAGGCTTAAAAAGTTCGAGTGGGAAAAGGAACTTTTTAATCATTAGTCATTCATCTCTGGCTCTCTTCCACAGCCTGTCTTTTATCCAGTCTTCCTCCCTTACACCCAACTGGTCGCGGCAGATGACTTCCCCTCCACTAGCCCGATTCTGCTGGAGGTTTCTTCCTGTTAAGAGGGAGTTTTTCCTTCCTACTGTCGCCAAGTGCATCCTCGTTGGGTCATCCGATTATTGAGGTTTTCTCTGTAGTTTTGTAGAAACTACTGTTCTTCTATATAAATAAAATAGAATTAAGTTGATACTAGTGACAGATGGAAGGCTATTGGCAGACTTAAAAACCCATCTTCAGCTTGTCTAGTTTCTAAAGATTGCACACCACACTGAAATATTCCAGGGTTTTGGCTAATAGCACTTTGGGAATCATCCTGTTAGACAAAAAAACAAACAAAAAAAACCCCTATTTTTTTGTCTATCAACCTGTTCTCTTTGGCACTTTTTATAGATTATAAAGATAGTAACACAATGTATTTCAATTTCTAACAGCCAGTTCCAAAAACAAAGTGCTTAAAGCTACAATTTAAAGCTGGTTCATGCCAAGTTGTCTGTTATGTGTAAGCAACACTGCTTCATCCCTTGAGAAACCATAAATATTACAAACTTGCTTATTTAGTATCCCTTGCTCGGATTTGCATTTTCCCCTTTTAGGAAGACAACATGGGAAAAACCTGTAAAACTTGCCTGACCCACTCACTCACCTGAATAAGACGGGCCCAGTCCTGTAAAGCAGCGTCCCCCAATCCCCGGACCACGTGAAACGTTCGGTACCGGGCCGCGAGAGTTGAGGCTCGAGTGTGAAATGTATGGTTTTCAGGGTTTTTATCGGTTTTGGTTTCCTGGGTCTTTTCACGTGTGTTATGAATAAATCTTTTTTTTCGGTACCGGTACTAGTTTTATTTTGTTGTATTTATCCGCGACACTTTAAAGGCCAGCGTGAAAATATTGTCGGGCATAAACCGGTCCGTGACGCAAAAAAGGTTGGGGACCGCTGCTGTAAAGGACTATTCAAAGATTCTGACCAAGTTCAGGTTTGTTGGAGTTCTTTCTGTCTCACATAATTCTGTTCATTACATCCAAATATTCCACAGTGCTCGATTCCTCAGTGTGAACTCTGGCACAACGCATATGCGGAGTGGACCACATTGCACGGTCAAAAATTAAGTGTCACGCTCCTTTCAAATCAGAAGTGCTTTCGTCCAACAGCGTGCCATTTTGCAGATATTCCGGCTTACTGCAAAAGGCAGTCATAAAACACCAGAAAACACACATTACACATCCCAGTTTTTGTATCCTTAGTATCAGGGGAGATGTGGTTACCACCATTGCCTCACAGCAAGACAGTTCTGGATTTCGATCTAGCTGCTGCTCGTAAGCTTTTTTAAAAAAAAAAAAAAAATTATATTGCTGGTAGTTCTAAATTGGTAAATGAGCCTTAGCCCTGTGATTAGAGCGGTGTACCCCGACTCTTGCCCTGTGCTAGAGATATGTTCCATTCACCCTGCAACCCTGAATTAGACAAGCTGAACATAATGGCTAGATTGATATCCTTCACCTATTAAATAATTCATCTTCTACAGTGAAGGTGAACCTTCAAAATATGTGGTTGGTTTCTAACACATGAGACAAAATTCCATATTATAGCTTCAAGGATAGGCCTATGTTTTTAGCATCCAAATATTCTTTAGGTCCCTCTATCAAAAAGGTTTGCATGATCAAAGTTCAAAAAACACACCACTGGAACAAGTTCAGTAACATCCATTCATTCTCTGCACTCACCTAAATCCCTCATACAGGTTTGAGGTTTCACAGCCTTGTTACGACTTTAAAGCTAATGTGCAGTTATAAGACATAACTAGCTTACCTGATTATTTTGATTCAACCATTTTTCGACACAACACTGAGTTTTATAGAAATTGCACTAATCACTCTTTCTCTGTTGCTGGCATTAAACTTCGACTGCTCCAGGTCTTCATGGTTACTCAAAGCAGGTGGCTGAGTTGTTTGAAATACAGAGGCTAATGGACCAAACCATTTGTTGTGATACCTGTGGGGTTCATGGATTTTCTTTGTGGTGAGTTTAGTTGTTATCCCTGTGATTTTTCCCCTTTGCATCCATAATGGTTTGCTCCACTAATCTAGGTTCATGGTGCTCTCGTGTGTTTTAGCTCTCTTAGTGAGGTTTTGTAAGCAGTAATTTATGAGCAGTGTTTATTTAGTTCGCCCTATTTATTTGCTAAATTTATATGTCTTGCATTAAATATTATTTTTAATGCTTTTATTTAATTTTGATTGAAATGAAACCCACTTTTTCAACAGCACAGCTTTGCCTGCTTGGTCCCCTACAGTCACTGAGACAGCCTGCACTCAGACTCCAGAGATTATTGATTATAACCAGATGGTGATTGATTTTCTGTCAGTTTTCTTTAGTTTGAGGTTGTTGGGAAGGATGGAAAATGGCGACAGTGACATTACAGCAAACAAATAAAGTAATTTAATTTTACCAACATGTGATTTGTTTGTATTTGCATTTTTGGGTGTGGGATGCCAGGATGTCACTGTTGCTAAAGCAAACGAGAAAACGCAGCACATATTGTTGTGTGATCTATGTCAGTTACAAAACAAACTGTTTAAAGTCATTCTTATTACCTTATTGTTTTTGTGTCAATGGGTTTCTGCTGCTACAACAAGTTAAAGAGGGTGTTATGAGAGGGCAGAGATGTAAATGGAAGTATTACTATAAAAACACATATATATCATCATCACTACTCATCACAAGACACAGCTCACACACTCATGGCTTGACACACAACAAGCTTGAGCACACTTCCTGAAACCAAAGCTTTCTATGTGCATGCAAGTGGAGCTATTGCCTCACTGGAAAGATGACCAAAGGTCTTAAAGCACATGACCTCTTTCTGGTCACAGTCCAGAGTCACTGTTTAATGTCCCGGTAGTCAAAGTGGACTCCAACTCTAATGGTGACCCTAGGTGACATGATACGGAGGAAGTGAGTGTAACAAGTAAAGAATGATGTGCCAGCGTACATTTTATTCGCTCGAAGGATGATGATGCAGAACGAGAACAAGGGCACATTTCCGTTGACTTTCACATTTCTCTTCTGCCGCTGTGGCTCAAACCTCACCAATGAGAGACAGATCAAGTTTCTACCTCTACCTCACAAATGATTAAGGGAGTACAAACACCACAGTTACCATTGTTTGGCATGAATCCCAGTCATATCCATGACACACAAACTAAATGTATTTGGTGCGTACCTTTTCTCCTAGGCCCTCCATTATATGCTGGCTCACTGCAACCACAATTCAAAGCAGCTGACAGCTGGTATGCTGTGTCCAGTGTCCAGCCTTTTATTGACCCATCCCACCATTTTGAGACATGCTACATGAGCTAATATAGTGCTGTGCAAAGTTCTTGAGCCAACGCTCATTTCTTTATAATTTAAGCCAGAATTTCTCGTAATTGTTTAAATTAGTCTTGAATAATAGTTTCCAAGGCTTTCTGGACGTTCTTCTTTGAAGGCCTTTGCTACTTTTTCACTCATTTTCAGTCCAGTCTAGTCCATAAAATCTTTGTTAAGCCACTTAATACTGACCCATGAGTCAACTAGGGCCTATATAAAAATGCACCTAACTCAATTGATGAAACATTGTTGCAACTACACATAACAGACCTTTTAGTAAAGAACCAATTTTAAATTAGATATTAAGGCACTTTGTTACAAGCAGCCTGATGAAAAACAGATATTTTGTTCCCATTCCTTTACTGTATGAGGAATGCCAAAGGGAACACAGTTTGATGCGCATAAAATAGTAATCAGAAATGGTCTCAGTGGAGGAGCAGCTGTCACAGAGCCATTTTTTAAAAAAGGGAAATGTCGAAAAAAGGATGAGGTATGCCAAATTACACAAGAACTGGACTGAAAATCAGCAAAAGGTCTTGAGGAGTGATGAAATTTTATTATTTAGTTATGGATGTGTCTAAGTTCACCCAGTAAAGTCACTGTGGCCCTTCAGCTGAAGTCTACTGATACGCATTAACACTAAGTTACAATAATTAATACAATTTGGTAATGAAAAACGTAAACATCCATATTGCTGACAAAAGTGAGCTCAGTTATAATTATTCAATTAAAAGTAGTTTAGTGCTTCTGCAGCAGTCGTGGTAACTAGCATGGCTGAGGATGACACTGGGCGGGC